AAGGAAGGAAGGAAGGAAGGAAGGAAGGAAGGAAGGAAGGAAGGAAGGAAGAAAGAAAGAAAGAAAGAAAGAAAGAAAGAAAGGAAGAAAGAAAGAAAGAAAGAAAAAGTTTATTTAAAAAAATTAATAAATTTTTAATAAAATACGATTTCCAGATTTTTTTCAATAATTTTAAGCTTTTCTTCTATTCCTTTAAGAGCAGTAAACATAGTGAATTTATTACCCATGCCTGACAATTCTAGTATTTGAAGTCTTTGCGCATAAAGGCTGCTTTTGCTGACTCTCACTCATGGTGCCTTTTAATCATGTGTTTTGGCTTTGACTGACCTAATTTCCACACCTTCCACACAACTACCAGGAAGGCAGTTATGGAACAGAAGATTCTTAATCATAGAAACATAACTTCAGCCACCAAATAATAACTAGACTCCACTTCTCTAATTTTATTACTCAAACGGCATCTCATGGGATGTGAGTTAGAGGTGGGGAGACCTGGGCACTCCTCCCTTTAGGCCTCCATAGACTTTGCCTCCATTGACTTTCACTTCTATTTTGGCCCCAGCCACAACAAAGCCCTATATTTTTATTTTGGACATTTGTTAGCCCCATTAGACTAGCATACCCCAAGGGCAGGGATTTTGACCTAAGCTGTTGCCTTCAGGTTCCCAGGGCCCAGAACAGGCCTGTAAAATTCACAACTATGGGGACCAAATAAATTCATCTCTGTGTGTTAGCACAGGTACTTAAAGCGCAGTCCATGTCCACACAGAGATAACTTTGCTTTATTTAAATGCTATGTATCCCTTTTAATGTATGTTTTTTAAGAAAATATGGCTAGCGTATCAAGAACTTAGAACCAAGTTACATCTATTAAAAAGCAAGTTTATTTAAATATATATATATATTCAAATAATAACCAGTATTTATTGAGTGGTTATATGTCCAAGGTACTTTTTCTGCATTAATTTTGCAATAACCCTTTGAAGTGAGTGCTATTATTTTCATCACCAGTTTACAAACTAGTTTCTGAAACACAGGTTATGCCATTTTCTCAGGGCTCATGACAAATAAGTGGTAGAACCAGGATCTGAACCCAGGTAGGCTGTCTTCAGAACCCATGCTCTACCCACTATGTTTTTTGTGTATCCCTAAACACAATCAGCAAAGATGTAGGCATTTAATAGGAGGTATGAACATGACTAAAGTTTTGAACATAATTTCCTGACCTCTAAGAAAACCAGATAGGAAAATGAACCTTACACTGATGCAACAAACCTAAATACTTCATTTTACCTGTCAGAAAGGTAGCCAAAAATCATTGCTCCCAGCAGGACTCCCAACATAAATACGGGCTGGACCATCTTTGCAAACCATTCTCGGTTACACACCAGATCCCACTGAGTCACCACGGTGCTGTCCCACTTGCTCTTGTCATAGATGTAGCCATCCAAACAAGGAAAGCTGCTCTTCTGGCCATTATAATCAGAGTTCAAACCAGACTTTTCATCCCTCCGGAATCGGTGACAACTTGTGAGCTCCCAGACCTCACCGTTCTGTAGCTGCACTATAATCTGATCTTCATGGCCTGTGAAAAACAGGATCCAGATGTCCTCCAGCCTCCAACTAGAGATATTGTGGAAAAGAACCTGACTCACGTTGCCCGGAGGCCGGCAGGTATGGTAGGGGGACACTGTCATGAACACGGATGCCAAGTAGTGGATACCACAAGAGATGTTCTGGAAGGCACATATAAAATAGAGGACTATCTGAAATCTGCAAAGAGAAGAAAAGCAAGTTACTATATCTGGCCTATTGGCTCAAAAAGACTATAAGTACATATGAAGGGTGTTCATCACATTTAGCTTAATATATATACAGATGTATAAATACAGAAATAATTACAAATGTTTCCGTGTGTGTGTGTGTGTGTGTATTATTTGTTAGTATATATACATAGCTCTGTTATGTCACAGGCAATGACACTGAGACAGGGAAACTAAAGGGATCCCATGAAAAAATACCTTTTTGCTCCTTTTTCTGCTTCTTCTCTTGCTAGGACCTACACCCCCATCTTACACACACCTTATAGAATAGATAATATATGGCTTCCTTACAAAGGCCAAGGAATTCATGATTTCTTTGCAGACTTCCAGCACAGTATATAGCATCTAAGGAGTTACCAGGTGGGGTCATCATGAACATTTTAAGACCACTAACTCATCGAGACCCCTGGCTTCAGGGCATAAGTGACTTATGGAGGACACCTAAACACTCATCTTTGTTCTCAGATGCCTGAGAAGACACTGCACCAGACCACCATCCCCAATAAAACCCCAGACTCCAAGCAAAGATGAAACTCACTCTCCTTTCCTTTCCGACTCTCCCAGAGGCTTTGTCTGTATCTGCTCTCTCTATGTCTTCAGTAAACTCTGCTCTCATTTCCTCTTGGCTCACACTTGATTTCTATCCTGTGCAAAGCCAAGGACCCTCCTGGTTGGTCCTGCGGGACATCCTCTGGGTTCTCAAACCTGGCCAACCTGCATCAACATCCCATTGGCAACATGCACATCCAGTGCCCAGATCTTGTTTTCTAAATACATTCTCCAGTAAAAGGGACCAGGAAAAAAGCTGATTTAAGACCAGGACAGGGAAAATTAAAAATATGCCTAAAGCATCTTGTGGAATCAGAAAGTAAAGAAGCACTCAAAATACAAAAGGTTGGGGGCATGTCTAAGGGACACAGGAATCAATCTGAAAAAGCTCCCAGTGGGCAAGGTTGAAACAATTTGAGCAACAAAATAAATAGCATGGTATATCCCAAGGTATAAAATAAATATACAAGTCCATAATGTTTTGTTTAATTTTATGTGTCAACAAGACTGGGCTAAGCCCAGATAGCTGGTAAACATTATTTCTGGATGTGTCTGTGAGATTAGCATTTGAATGGGTAGACTGAGTAAAGAAGATTGCCCTCACCTGTGGGTGGGCATCCTCCAACCCACTGAGGGCCTGACTCGAGCAAAAGGTGGAGGAAGGGCAAATTTGCTCTCTCTGCTGGGTCTGAGACATCCACCTTCTCCTACCCTTAGACACCAGAATTCCTGGTTCTCAGGCTTTTGGACTCAGACTGAAATAGGGAAACTGAAGAACTCCATAAAAACCTGCTTTTTGCTCCTTTTCCTGCTTCTCTTCTTGCTAGGGCCTGCACCTCCACTTTATACATGCCTCAGAATGCAAACAGCATGTCCTCCTTGTAAGGAACACAGAGTTAACGATTTCTTTAGAATAGATAATACCTAAGGAAAAACCAGGTGACAATGACCGGATGAAGCTTTCATATGCATACTCCAGACCACCAGAGCTAGGCAAATATCTCGAAGGCCCATGCCCCCAAGAACAACACCTGGGCTTTTGTCTCTGTACTAACTGGTCCCTGGATGCCTGAGAGGACACGTACACCACACCACGAGCCTCAGTAAAAACCTCCAGACCCTGACCAAAGACAAGATTTCCTCCTTTCCTGTCTGAGTCTCCCAGAAGCTCTGTTTGTACTTTCTCTCTACTTTCAATAAACTCTGCTTTCCCCTCCCGCTGGCTCAACTTTGATTTCTATCCTGTGCACAGCCAGGGACTCTCTTGGCTGGTCCTGTGGGACTCCTTCTGGGTCCTCGGACCCAGCCTGCTAGCAACTAGACCAGGACTTACATCATCAGTCTCCCAATTTTCAGACCTTCAGACGTGGACCTCTCAAGAATCCCACCGGCTGCCCTGGATCCCAGCCTCCAGACAGCACATTGTGCAACTTGTCTGCCTCCATAACTGTGTGAGCCAATTCTTATAATACATCTCTCATCTGGATCTCTCTATATATCCTATTTGTTCACGGGGTGCCTGGGTGGCTCAGTCGGTTAAGCATCTGCCTTCGGCTCAGGTCATGATCCTAGGGTCCTGGGATCGAGTCCCACATCGGGCTCCCTGCAACAGAGAGCCTTCTTCTCCCTCTCCTTCTGCCTGCCGCTCTGCCTGCTTGTGCTCTCTCTCTATCTCTCTGTCAGATAAATAAAAACTTAAAATATATATATATATATAGTATTTGTTCTGTCTCTCTAGGAGACCTTGATGAATTCAGACTTTGGTACTGAAAGTAGTTCTAAACAGAACTTTAAGAATGAACTTTCTGAACTAGTTCTAGGGTTTCTGGAATTGGTTTTCTAATCAGATTAGATTTAAAAGCACTAATGACTCCCCTCTGACCCCTGTACCCACCATTCTGGTCTTTGATTTTTATGAATTTTACTATCTTAGGTACCTCCTATAAGTGGAATCAAGCAATACTTATTTTTTTGTGTCTGGCTTATTTTACTTGGCAAAATGCTAAGTAAATACACAGCAAATTGCTGTGTTTTGCAGAATTTCCTTCTTTTTTTAAGGCTGACTACTCTTCCATTGTAGGTACACACCACATTTCCTTTATCCATTCATTTGTGGATATACACTGAGGTTGTTTCCACATCTTAGTTATTGTGACTAGGACTGCCCACGGAATACCCATAACCATGGAAGTGCTAATATCTCTTTGAGATCCTGGTTTCAGTACTTTTAAACGTATACCCAGAAGTGGGATTGCCGGATCATATGTGTGAAGCCTCCATACTGCTTTCCATAGTGGCTGCACCAGTCTGCGTTCCCACCAGCAGCACGCAAGTGTTCCAATTTCTCCACATCCTCGCCAACATGTGTTGGCTTTTGTCTTCTTTTAATAATAGCCACCCTGACAGGTATAAGGTGATATTTCACTGTGCTGTTGATTTACATTTCCCTGATGATTAATGACAAAAGACATTTTTTCACACACCTATTGACCATTTGCATATTTTCCTTGGAGAATTGTCTTTTCAAGTCATAGGCTCATTTTTTTAATCAGGTTGTTAATTTTTTGGTTGGGAGTTGTATGCATTCCTTATTTTGTTTGGAAATTAGCTCCTTATCAGAAATATAGTTTGCAAATATTTTCTCCCATTTTGTAGGTTGCCTTTTTACTCTGTTGATTGTTTCTTTTGCTGTGAAAACGCTTTTTGGTTTGATGTAGCCCCACTGATTTATTTTTGGTTTTTGTTGCCTGTGCTTTTGATGTCATATCTATGAAATCAGTGCCAACATCAGTGTCAGGAAGCTTTTCCCTGTTTTCTACTAGGAGTTTTACTGTTTCCAGTCTCATGTTTAAGTCTTTAAACACCACCTTCTCTCTCCCAGCTTGCGCCACTGGCCTCATGGGAGCTCCCTACAGTCAGCTGACAGAGTAAAAGACTTGGGCCTGATTTTACAGCTGCTTCCACACAATATGCAGGCACCCCCTGAAAGTGGACAGCTGAAGCACTACAGCCCCTCTCTGGGGCAGGCCTGAAGGACAGTCGTGAAAGGAAATCTTCCCAGTGAACAGAATTTCGAGCAATGCACCTAGTTGTACACTTCACTTGGAAGGAGAAACGGCCAGACATTGATCATATATCAACACATAAGCTGTAGTCAATGGTTTAGTTGGATGGTCAAGGACTTGGAAAGCACATGATCAGAAAATTGGCATCAAAGAAATTTGAAGAAGAGGTATGTGGATAGACCTCTAGGAATAGGCAAAAAATGTGAAGATATTTGTGTCTCATGTGAGTGCTCACCAAAGGATGACCTCAGCAGAAGAGGATTTTAATAATCAAGTAGATAGGATGATCCATTCTATGGATACTAGCTGGCTTCTTTCCCAAGCCATCTTGTCATTGCCCATTGAGCTAATGAACAAAGTGGTTATGGTGGCAGGGACAGAGGTTATGCAAGGGCTCAGCATCTTAGTGAGCTGATCTGGCTACAGACACCGCTGAGTACCCAATATGGTACCACTACCCAGCAGTAGAGACCAACAGTGAGCCCCCATATGGTACCACTCCTGGAGTGAGTGTTTGCTTGTTGTGCAGAACCATCTGGACAACATTTTGTCCTTACTAGAATAAACACTCTGGATATAGATTTGCCTTCCCTGCACAATGCTTCTGCCAAAACTACCATACTTACAGAATGCTTTATCCATCAGTGGGGTATTCCATATAGCATTGCTCATGATGAAGAAACTCACTTCACTGCAAAAAAATATAGTAGTGGGCCTCTGTTCATAAAACTTACTGATCTTACCATGTTCCCCGCTATCCTGAAGCCCCTGGTTTGATAAAATGGTGGAATAGCCTTTTGAAGACTCAATTACAAAGCCAGCTAGGTGGCAATATCATGCAGGGCTAGGATGAGATTCTCTAGAAAGCTGTGTATGCTCTGAATCAGGGTCCAATATATAGAGCTATTTCTCTCCTAGTCAGCACTCATGAGTCCAGGAATCAAGGGGTAGACATGGGAGTTACACCTAGGGACCCATTAACAAAACTTTGGTTCCTGTTCCCACACCCTTACTCTCTGCTAGCCTAAAGATCTTAGTTCCAGAGGGAAGAATGTTTCCACTAGGAGACACAACAATGATTCCACTGAACTGGAAATAAAGACTGCTGCCCGGCCACTTTCAGTTCCTCAGGCCTCTGAATCAAAAGGCAAAGAAGGGAGTTACAGTGTTGGCTGGGGTGATTGATCCTGACTACCAAGGGGAAATCGGGGCTGGGTGGCTCAGTCATTAAGCGTCTGCCTTCGGCTCAGGTCATGATCCCAGGGTCCCGGGATCGAGCCCCGCATCGGGCTCCCTGCTCGGCGGGAAGCCTGCTTCTCCCTCTCCCACTCCCCCT